AGTAGCAGACGAAAACAATCTGCTACTTGAGCATGCAAATGATCTTTTTGAAAACTATGTCTGCTTTACAAAAAAAGAGCTATCAGGAAAAGTCTTCATGTAATCATTTCTCAGAACCAAGAGAAGCTACAGACTGATTCAGGTCATTCAAGGTCTGTTTTTCTTCTAATTTCAGGCATTGCCCTCAATATTATCTGAATATTACAACTGCTGCAGCAAAAAAAAAGAAAAGTCAATGTTTTCGTGTTGAGAACTGTTTGCCTCCTATAAGAAATCTTGTGTGCATCACAGTTTGGGTGCACTACTCTGTGTGTGTAAGTGTGTTTACAACAGTCTTTAATATTAGCATTATTATTGTATTTATAATATTACAAACTTTGTGATCGGCATATGCCTTTTCATGTAGATGCCACACCTATTAAGGAAAAGAAATACGGATATTATGGACTTTAACATTAAATGGAGTTTTGGAAAATATTTGTCCTGCAGCAAATCATCTTACTGGATATGTGGTTTATCATAATCTCATCAAGGCCAATGTATTTTACTGTTTCTGACATTAACCAATCAGGAGGCTCCCTCACCTCCATTTGCTGCATCACATGCTTGATGTTGTCCAATAGCGAGTCAGCCTGCAGCTCCACTGCCTTGCACTTTTCGTACGAAAGGAGGACCATCTGAGCGTGCTCACAGGAACTGGCGATCATCAGCCCCAGCAAAGCTGCTACCTCCTTGACCTGCAGAGAGCAGAAGGAATCAAAAGAATCAAAGCCACACTGACTTCAAGATCCGAGGACCTGTTGACCCCCAGGAACTCGCCAAGCAAATTCACCTGAAAATTCCAGAATGTCACACCGAGCCACCTGTTTTTCCAGTTCACGAGACCACTGTGATTTTCAAAACTGAACAGGTGGGCAGAAGTCCATTTAAGTTTGTCCTCCTGCATTCAGGCTGCATGTACAGTAACTACCTGTTGCACAGTGCGAGGCTAATGGAGAAATGTGTGGCATATACAATATGGTTCATCTTTGAGTACTACCTGAACCAGAACCAATTCCGACAAGCAACGGGTGGAAGGCAGGGCACGCCATCAGCCAGGACACCAATCCTTGGCAAAGGCAAACCCGCAGGCAGTAGAAACCCATGCAAACACAGGGAGAACATCCAAGCTTGGGGCAGATGACACTTTGGGTATTGAACACAGGGACCCAGTGCTAAGGCAACAACACTAACCACTGCACTACGGTGCTGCCTGTCAGTGTACATCTCATTGAGTTACTCAAGAGCTGCACGCATCAGTCTGTACAGCAATCGCTGCCTGTCCATTTCCGACAGCAACACCACCTCCAAGTGAGAGACAAACACTCAAACACAAAAGTGCAAAATGTACTTAAAATGAAAACCGAGGCCAGTGTACACACGCAGATACCGACTCCCCAACACCAAAACCAACAGATTCAAGTTGTCAGTCGTACCTGTAAGCCATATCGTTACTTAACATTTCATTTTCAATGCAAATATGTTGGCATATTGTTTTACCTGACATTTTTTTTCTTCTCTCCATCTGTACACCAATACTGCTGCAGTACACTGGCAGCACGCTTATTCCTTCAATGGTGAAAAACGTCATAACCAACTCAGTACACAGAGTGGCTCATTTCTAATGTGAAATGTGAGTAATGAGAGTGAGACTCTTCATTTTACGATCCAGTGACGTGGCTGCTGGCACAGTTCATGACTGCCCCGAGACGGAACGCATCCGGACAGGCGAATCACTTGTTTGTTTGTTTGTTTTTTAAAACAGTATTGGAATGTATGTCCAGGCTCATGACTTTTCGTTTTAGGTCTCTTTGGGGAAAATTGACACGGAAAGTTGTCACAGATCTCTTCATTCCAAACCCGTTTTAACACGCAGCCGCCTGAATATGAAAACATTTTATATTCCACTTTCTACGGATGGAATGGAAATACAAATGTGGAAATATCATTGATTGAGTGATGTTTTGTACTTATCTTAAAATTCTTTGTCAGATATTACTTGGGGGAAGTAGGTGTTGCATGGTTTTTCAATAGGGGATTAGCACAAATGGTAGTATCGCTCTCTTTGCAAGAGAATAGTAGTGAGATCGATACCCACATCCTAAAACATAAAAATATGAGATTTGTGAACCAGAAGCTCTCCCACCACCCTTGCCAGCTTCTCCAGTCACAGGATGACTGCAGATAGAATCCCGAGAATTTGGGCGACAAGTCTGCATTGTGTTCTGCTTGTATTCAGTCGCCTCTGGAAATGAGGACTCGGACCACAATCTGGAGCCAGCTCTCCTTTTTAATAACTGCATTTTTAGTAGCTGTATTTTAATAACAGTGATCATGGTGGCTCATCAGACCACCAAAAAAGAGATGCCCCGTGTAGCCCAGCTCTGACTCAAAAACAGCTCTCAGGTTCATATCTTTTTTTGGGGGTGGTGGAAATTTCTTGAAAGAAAACAACAATCAAACGCACAGATTTTCGAAAAGCTTTTAAGAGTTGACGGCCTGCCCTCTGCAATGGTAGCTTGAAAATGATGTAACAGACAACTTCCGTAATATCTACTATTCTGCATGAGAAATTGAATCTGATGGGATAAAAGCCACCTTTTTCCCCGTCGGGGAATCGAACCCCAGTCTCCCACATGACAGGCAGGGATACTCACCACTGTACTAACAAGGAGCTCGTGTTTACTGTTTACTTGCTGTCAGGAGACACTCTTATGGCTACTATTGCTGCGGGTTTCGGCTTTTATTGTCACGTTAAGAAAACGTGTTTCTAACTGCGGCGTTGTCACTCCTCCCCTGGTATCATCACAGCTCCTCCTCCTGCACTTCCAACACCTATGGACTCGGTTCCTTCAGCTTTATTGGGATTTTATTCAAGGCTGGAAGTAGGGCCCAAGTCACGCGAACGCAAAAAGCGTCACCATCTGCTCATGACTGGCAGCCCCACTGAAGATAAGGAGGTGTGAGCCTGGTCAGTACCTGGCTGGGAAGCTCCTGGGAAAGCTAAGGCTGCTGCTGGAAGAAGTGTGAGTGGGGCCAGTAGGGGGTGCTCACCCTGTGGTCTGTGTGGGTCCTAATGCCCCAGAATAGTGATTGGGACACTGTAAAAAGTCCTTTGTATGAGATACAAAACTGAAGTCCTGACTCCATGGTCATTAAAATTCCCAGGGGGGTCCTTGAAAAGAGTAGAGGTGTTATCCTGATGTCCTGGCCAACTTTCCCCCTGGTCTTTACCAGCCATGACCTCCTAATAATCCCCCTCTCTGAACTGGCTTCATCACTCTGGGTGAGAGTACTGGAGCATCATCCAGGTGGGCTGCACACTGAGGGTAGAGGAGGGGATCCCCATTACCTGTAAAGCGCTCTGAGTGGACTGTCCAGAAAAGCACTTTGTAAGTGTAAGGATTATTATTATTAAACCCCCTTTTTCAGACTTGAATTTACTCTTTCAGTTTCCATTGACCCAGTGGTTTAGTAGGTATAACCTGTTTTTCAGTCACATTTAACATTTAATTTGATCTATTTTGCTCATCTTTTGATTTTGAGATTGTGAGATTGTTGTTATTATCGGTTTATAATGACGGTTCCTTAAAAAGGCTTTACTGCAGTGAAAAGTCTTTTTGTCTGTTTCGGTTTCACAGATTCTTTTAGAAGATATTTGAGATCGCTGGTAAGTTGTCAAAATAACGATTAGGATTTATTTATGTTTTAGTGTGCTGCAGACACTGGCACCTCGTAGTAGTTAATAACAAGTCTGCAAAACAGCATTGGAAACACTGCCAAATCACAATTACAGATCAGTAATAGTTGAAAATATTGTTCTTTTTTTGTCTGTATTCTGAGAAGAGAATATATTCTGTGAAAAAATGAAACGTGTCCTTCACTAAAAAAATATTTGTACTGTATAGATATATAGTATACTGTATAAGTTACTGAAAAATGGGAAAAAACAGGTTTTCTGTTTTTTATCAATTTGAGCTAATGTTATAATATCCATCTTTTGTGTAATACAAACAAAACAAAATAGATGTAATTAAAATACTATTTAATTTTGATAAATCATTTTTCAAGTACCATAGTTGACATGAGGGTAATACAGGTGATATGAGAGTAACATTCCCACAGTAAAATATTTTTAAAAATAAGAAAATAATCTTATTTGAAGGTATATGTAAAAAAGAAATTAATCAGAGAAGAAACAGTTAGTTCCAGAATAGCACAGCACAGGAGAAAGCTGAGCAGAAAACACCTGGAGAAACTGCCAGCAAAAACTGCATCTCCCAGAAATCAATGGTTCTACTTCCTTTGGTTCTGCAGTTCCCAACCAGCCTTAGTGGTTTTTAAGTATACATATGGTATAAGTTATATCTGTTCATGTGTATGTTGTTATTTGTTTTTCATTTACATCTTGCAACTTCTCATGGGAAATGTAGTTAAAAGGAGCACTTCGAAACTTTCCCAAAATAACAGCAGGTGTCCAAGTTAAAGAATTAATTTCACACCTCTCTACACCTATCCTGACGTCACACTACCCGATTGGTCACTCTGTCTGTCCTCTGCTCCCGCCTCCCGCTCCTCCTCTCTCCCAGCTTTTGTTCTCCCGGTACATTATCTTTGCTTACTGCCCTGTCTTTCTCACAAAACATTGTGTTTTCTTTCTTCTCTTTTCAGCATGGAATAAACCTACAGTATTACTTCTTCCTTTGCAGCCTATGCATGCTGACACAGCTACCCACCTGAACTATTTTGATAAGAATTATAATGTTAGAATTATTTAAAATTACTTATTATTATTTTACCTTATTTTTTATTTTCAGCCACCACTGCCAGCTATAGAAATATAGTTATATTAAAAGATTAAAAGATTAACATTCTTAATAATGAAACTGAAACTCTGAAACTTTATGATGCATTGATTATTTGTATTTTCCAGCTATTAAACAGATTTAGTTACATCAGTTACATCTGTACATCTTGATATTCCATATTAAGTGAATAACATTTAACGCACCACAAGTGCCCTCTATCTTTTTTGGGCAGTGAAGCACTAACTCTGGCACGCCGAAACACACCACAGTTTACCATACCTTGCTTAGTCCTAATGCAAGTTTTGCCATGCATTCTAGATGGCTGCATCTGTGCACATTTGTATAAATGTCATTGTCATGTCATGTAAAGAAGTGTTCATGTGCGTATGTACAGTATGTCAGTGCATGTATTTGATACCAGGTCTTAAAATCCAAGAAAATCTTGCAGGTCAGGAAGTGCCTGGTCCCCCAATCCTAGCATATCATACGCCCCCACGCGGCATCACTTAAATGTGAGGAGGTACTCTGGGTAAGCCTGGTCATCGTGGAACACAACAAACAAAGTGGGGTCCAGAATGCTGTTCACCAGGCTGTCGTAGGTGTCATTGGGGTTGGCAGGGTTGCGGGCTGGGGGGACTTTCATTTCGGCCGACCCCAGGGTGTAGCGTCCCGTCAGCACGCAGGCTGCAAACATGTAGCGCGAGCCGTCCTCCTCTGGCCTGGAGAACGTGGGGTTGGCAGAGTAGCAGGCATTCACAGCGAAGTAGACGCCAGCTCCGTAGCGTGTGGCTGTGAGGCCAAGAGGAAAACACTTCAGACATCGACGTCTCACCCTAATGTGAGAACCACCTGAATCTATGTTAGACTACTACAGTGCTTTGGTCGCTAGTTCACCCCAGAAACGACATTGTCCAGAACTATGCTGCTCAAGGGTTGAGCAAATCTAAAACAACTGAACATAATTTCTCCTGTGCTGAAAAAGCTGCACTTGCTACCAGTCTCTTACCAGTCTAAACAAACTTGAAAATTCTCTTGTTGTCCCAGAGCACCCAGAGGAAACCCACATGAACACAGAATATACAAAAAGATACGCCATGTTTCAGCTTTGAAGACTTCTTCAGGTTTGAGGGAGAGAGGGAAAGTAGAAAATAAATAAGCAGGTGAGTATCCAAACTAAAGCAGGACAGGAGGGGAGGTGTGGAAACCTCCAATATGCTAATTAATGGGGAGGATTTAGAACGAAACAAGTCTGTCATTGAAAGAAAGGGGAGGTTGTGATCCAAGTGTCAAGGAATCTATTGGTAGAATAGGAGGATCCTTATGCGTAACTGTGAATCCCACGGGACACTTTCGTGACAGAATGCAGAGCCAAAACCAAGAGCCAAAAAAGAGGACGGCACTCTGGCAGCCTGGACTCCATCCTGTTTTTAATTTTTTCTTGTTTTTTGTTTAGGGCTTCGGAGCCGCCCTGGAAAGGAGGGGCATACTGTCATGATCGCAAACCCCTCCTCTAAAGGGCGCTCCAGCCCTTCCTTGTTTGTTGTTCATCTCCCACACCTGCTCCCTGTTTTAGCCCCTTTTCAGTTCCCCCTTAAAAGCCAGACGCTGATGCCAATCCGGGCTCTGCATTGGTTCCTGCATCATGCAAACCCAGGACCTGGATGTCCCTGGCTCCGTTATGGTTTTAGTTTCTGTTTCTTGTTCCCGTTCCCGTGCCCCCTGCCGGTTCTGACCCAGTTCCCATTTGTCTCGGATGGATCGCCTGGCTTTGGACTTTTGTCCTGTTTTTTGGGTTTCCCGTTTGTCTCATCCCTTGATTGTTTTCCTCGGCCACACCTCCCCCGACAACCAGCACTCCATGGACACGCCCCCCTGTGTTCATTCCCGTATCCTGCATGACTTTTTACCCATTATTTCTTCACTCAACCCCGGATCGTATTGTCTGCATAGGGCCCGGAAAGAACTGTTCGTGACACCAAGTTTAAGGATAATTTTAGTTTCGGATGTCTTCCTTCAATAGGCGTTCCAAAAGTCCACCTACCAGCGGGTCGAGGAGTGACCCAACGTCATAGGGTTCACCCTGGCTTCCTGACCATCTGAGTCCGGGGCCTGGAGCACCTGGTCCTGTTAAGGTTTTAGTTCTGTGCTCCCGGTCTCAGTTCCCGTTCCTGGGGAATTTAACTGTCTTCGTCCCGGATGGATCTCCCAGCCTTTGGATTACGGACTGCGCCCTGACTTCCCGTTTTGACTTCCCTGGACTTGGTCACTGCAGTCACTGCCCCTGTCTGTCAACCTGTCCTGATCTGCTGGATCTTCCCCTGATGTCCTTCTCCAGACCCTTCCGTCCTGCATAGGGTCTTTAACAAGGCACTACACGGGAGTCTCCCCCGGCTCCCGTGACAGTGAGGATGCAGATGGAGAAGTTAGAAAAACTGTGGCTGTTAGAGGTAAAATGGGGAACTATCGTTTTGAAGACATCTTTGATCCTCGACCATCACAGACGATTTGCTTCCAATCAGACCATTGAATGTGCCTTTATCAGTGTGAGTTGGGACGTTTGGAATAGTGAAGGTGGTACCTGCAGTACCTCTTAGGCGACTGAATGGCTCAGCAAGTACCACCCAGCAGGTACCACCCTCCCCCATTCTGTGGTCTGATCACAAACGGGTGACCACCCGCTCGAACTACTTAAGCAAATAAGTGGTTCAGAGATCAATAACAATAAGTAGAACATCCTTATTTTTTTCACTTACCTGAGTTTCTGAAGATTGAGAGTGCTAGACATTTCCCCTTACCATTCTGTCCCGCGTATCTCTTGTTGAAGCCATTCTCGGCGATGGAGCTGCAGGCACTTGCTGTTGTGCCGTGGAACATCATCCTCTCTCCCACTGCAGTGGGTCCGTTCTTGTTCAGGAATTTCCGTTTCTGCGCCTCGTAGCCCCTGCGCAGGTTAATGTTCTGTATCCGTTCGACCTGTGAAGCAGCGATGCACAGAGAAAGCTGACCACTGAGTGCAAGAGAACTGTTCTCCTGAGGTTAGCTGGGTGAGAAGAGGGGTGCAGACGTGCCAGGATGTGGGCCTAAACATGATCCATTTTTGGGCAGCACACATGGTTGAGCGTCATTGAGTTCGTGACTCGATCATTGGTAAAAAGCCACGTTCACGTTTACAAAATGTCATCCACTGATTATTTCAAAATCGCTAAAGAACCCTGGACTTTTAACATGAAAGATGAGCGATACAAAAAAGGCTTGATTTCACTACTGATCTTGGTGTTACAGTATTTACCTCAAATATCTCACTGGGCAATTTCAAAAATGAAAAATCTCAAGAATGGTTACAAACACAAGAAGGCAATTAGGCCGATTTGGCCCATTAAGTGATTAATAGACAATTGGCCTGAATGTCTTATGCCGACATTTGTTGAAGGAAGCCAGGTATTGGCTTAAAAAAAACAACTGCATAGCTTTTTCCAGTTTCCAACCTTCCTTTGTGCAAAGAAGTACCTGCTGTCCTGACTGGAAGATATCATCTGGTTGTTTCTTGAAAGAAGCCAAGTTATTACCTGGGCATTTAATTTCATGCCACCCTTTGCATAGAAAAGTGCCTCCTGTTCTCAGATTTAAATGCTCTTTCATTTAGTTTCTGCTTGTGGCACCTGGCTTATGTTTTCAAAAATCTCCTTGCTACAGTGTGAAGTACAAAATCAACACTCAAAAAGCGTTGAGTGCCAAATCCTTGTACTCACTTTTATGACAGTGTTGCCTGCAGTCTTCCTGAAGTCAGCCACAACTTTCTGGTACTCCAGCTCATTGGGATGGAGCTCAACTTTCTTTAGGGATTCTCCATTGGTCATACCATCCCAATGTAGGGGAAAGGTGAAATCTATAATTGGGGAAAAATACTTGAGTTATAAAATGAGACCTAATACCAAATGCATAACAGACCCTCTCACTCTCTCTAATTTGTCTGCAATTCACAGTGAGTACCTTTATTATCATACGTATGTAATTCCCAAATGGAGTTCATACAGTAGCTTCTACACAACATGTAACATACACAGGTAAATCTTTAAAATACCTAATGAGACTCAAAAAGCCTCATTTGGAGACACATGCACTGTCCCCAGATTTATGGAATTTATGGAAAATTAAATTTCTCTCATCCTTTTACTTCAGCTCCAAGCTCCAACATCTCCATTTTTGTCTTTGATTTTGCTCCAACCAGATAGGTTGGTCCAACGGCATCACAGAAACTAAACAAACCCTGAACCGTCTGGGTCTTTTATCTTCCATTAATTTTGAATGGTCTACATGAAATAGAACAATGCTGTGTTGATTACTAGGGCTCGGATCACATCTCTGGGTTGCTGGTAGAGCGACAAAGATGTTTAAAGGGACCAGCCTTACCAGGGAGGTTTTCCATCCTCTTGACTCTCATGGTCTGAGCTGTTATCAGATTGGTAGCCTCCATCTTATGGAGATCTACTGAGAGCTGGGCCCCATTTCCATCCACCACATCTGTCTGACACCTATTCTCCAGCTGGAAGTTAGGCGCCTTAGGGAAACGTTCCCAGTGTCCATTCTTCTCGTAGCACCACATCACTTTTGGATACAACTCCTCCTGTTCCTTGTCCTGCATTGTCTTCAACAGGTGCTCCATGACGGACTTCTGAACACGTTGGACAATGTTGTTCACTGTATCTCGAAGCCCCCTGATGATGACTGTCCGGTCCCTCTTCTTCTCCAACTGCACACTATGACAAGAGACCAGGCCGAGAACGATCTGGAGGTCCTCCTCGGTCAGCCTGGACAGGTCCTCTTCAGTTACCTCCTGCTGGCTGACCTGATTGTCGAAGTCGGACTGCAGCCTCTCTTTCACTTTCCTCACGTTGTCTGCCTTCAGCCCAACAATGTCCAAGACAGCGGGGCTGAGAGAGCCTTGAGCGCCAGAAAACAGCTTGCCGAGGTCGATCAGTTTTCCAGGTCCAGTGCGAACCTCCGCTTCTTTCAAGGAGTGCTTTGTTTGGAGGTTCGGCGGGCCTGCACAGAACAGGAAGACAGAGCATTAACAAGATTGGTTCCTGTACCCCTCTTTTTCCCCCCAATCATAATCTTTCTTTTAGAGCTTTGTTTCCCTCACTGATAACGGCCATCTCTCGAGCTGCTTTCCCAAAGCGCTGCTCCACTTCCAGCTTGAACGCCTGGAAAACGTTCATCTTGAGCAGGATGAGCCGGACTGTGGTGAGGTAACGAAGGGGTCCGCCCTGCACTGCGGATGAGATCCCGTCAAGGATCGACTTAGCCACCTCTGTAAGCTCCAGTCCACCTGCACCTGTAAAAACGATAATACACACCACTGAATTCAGCACTGCACATTGCTGCAGTTGAATTTTTCTGTAATGCCTTCAATTATACAGCCTAAACTCACCATCACACCTCACATGTGGTTACACTCCTGAAACATTTTGCTGTTGGTAAGCCATGAGTCTATGGGGAAATAGGGGATTAGGTTCCCAGCTCTGTATTACACTCATCAGCAGCTATCAGGTCAACCACTGAAGTAAGGCAGTTCTTGAAACCAAACAATACAAATGAGAAGCACACATAAGAGAAGCCAGGCGTTTCAGTGCCTTTTTGCAAAAGGAACTCCACTTTTGTGCGTGTCCCACTCACCAGCACAAATTGCAGGCATGGCAACGGACTGAAAACAGCTGCGGTCACATGTTCGAACAATTTTGTCTGCCAGGGCCTTTATCACGGGGGTGTTTCTCTGGCCACACACGTGCATGATGGCTTTACACGGGAAATTGCCTGGAGTGGTTTGGTAGATCTCACCATAGGCCACATGGGCTGCAAGACAGAGAAAAGGAGGGACTAGATTATCAGTCACCTTTGTAGAGGTTGAACAGGCTCCTTCGGCTCTTGTTCAGCAGAACCATGGGTTCTTTTTTAATTTCTAGCTTATCAATTTCTGGAAATGCACAATTTAAACGTTTGCCTGCGGACAAGGCTGGCTTTTTAAATTTTAAATATGTCAACTCTCAAGTGAAAATCAAGTAGCATTTATAGCTGTTTTAAAGACTTTAATCATCACAAATCTCCCATTATTTATTATCATGGCTGGAAAAGGATGTGCATTAGTAGAAATATGTTTTTCTTTATTTCGTTTTGAAAGGGAAACACAAGCACCTGCTCCATACATTTACTCCGTTTCTAAAATCGGAATCACAAGGGCTGATCATTGATTCATGCTGAATGTTCACGTGCTGTTTGAAACAGAAATTAACCATACCTGTCTCCACCTTTGTCTGGATCTCCTTGCCTGCTACAGACAGGATATCCTTGCAAACGCCTGTCAATAGAGAAAGACACTGATAGACTTTCACTGACCCCTGCTGTACAAAGCACAGTGTTAGCACAGAGCAAAGCACAGAGACTGAAGCTGATTGCTACCAATTGGCTCCAAATCCCAAAGCAAAAGGGAAAGGTTGTAGTCGAGGCAAAAGAACTTGGGAGGGTAACCAAAAGAGTCAGGTCAGAAATCCAAATCCAAAACGAGAAGCAAGGCGAAGTCGAAGCAGGAGGAAACATGGTAGGGTAGCCAGAAATCAGGTCGAGAGTATTAAACGTACACAAGAGAAAGCCAAGGGTTATTCTCACTAGTGAGTGGGGACTGAGTAGAGTGAGAGGGTATCAATAGGGAAGAGCGTGAAAGATGATAATTGATTAATTTGTATAATTAGAGAAAGACACCGATAGACATCACTGACCCCTGCTGTACAAAGCACAGGGTTGCCTTTCAACTTATCTGACCTGATCTGCAAGAGTTATTTTCTCTGTGACTGTACAACTAGGACAGGCAGCCTACAAGACAACAGCCTGCAATGTACAGTAGTGCCTCACTTAATGAAACCACCTCCCCATTTCCACTTCCCCTGCTGGTCTACTCAGCATCCTTTTTCAGGAAATGAAAGGAAAAAACGCTGACCAGGAAGGACCAGGGTTCCTTCAGCCTGGACAATGTTCCATCTCTACATATTCATCAATGTGCTTCCGCCTGCATTCCCAGTGGACCAACAGATCCCTGGAGGATGAGCTCACCAGCAGTGACTAAACCTCTTAATCTGTTTCTAACCCAGAGTAGATTGGTGAGCACCAAACTTTATCGGTGGCCCACTTTGGCACCAACTCTATAACTGACCTTTCCAAAAGACTCACTTCCTTCTTTATTGTACCAGATGGGAATTTTGCTTTGCGGGAGGGTAAAAACCCCAAAACAAGACTTAAGACATTTAACACAGCATGAACCCATAAGATTAACAAACAAGTCCAAAGCTTCGAATAATCCTCACATTTCAAAGACAGACGGATAAATAAGCTGATTTGTCAGTAAGTGAAACATATATATATATATGTATGTAAGATGCGTACTGTACATGATGAAAATAAAAGATAACAATCAGATGCTTGTCCAAATTGAGCATGGCTGTGGGCATAAATTATAACCAAGTTTTACTGCACCCAAATTCTAAGAGTCCAAATTGACACCCTGATGGGAGGAGCTCAAATTCGCCGTGCAGAGGTGGTCATGGCAGTCAATGATGACAGTCTCAATTAAACTCTAACCAAACAGACTGGTCTCACTACAAGAACAGTATGGTCTGATCTCTCCACAAGACTAGAAGTCTTCTTCTGTGTTCTTTACATCTTTACAGACATACCTAATAAAAAGGTAGCCTCATTATATAAGCCTCATCAGTCTCATTATACGGGTGGGTCTGTGGCACTGTGGCTGGAATGATGTTGGGTCAAATCCCGCGGCCAGCAGAGGAATCCTACTCCGTTGGGCCCCAGAGCAAGATCCTTAACCCCAGCTGCTCCAGGGGTGCTGTATAAATGGCTGACCCTGCGCTCCGACCCCAAGCTTCTCTCTCTCTGTCTGTGTGTCTCATGGAGAGCAAGCTGGGGTCTGCGAAAAAACAAATTCCTAATGCAAGAAATTGTATATGGCTAATAAAGTGATCTTATCTTACATTTCTTTTTCAACACTGTATGAATGAACGCACTCATTCTCTCTCTTGATTGTGTCCCTACGCTGCCATCTAGTGGTGGCTCGGACACATACGGGACAGCTCCAAAGGCAGCAGTCGTGAGACAGACCAAGGTCTGTGAAAAGACAAACAACGTTCTCCTTCCAGACCCCCTTACCTGTGTGATTGCTTGTGAAGTCTGTGGAGTTGACGATGACATCGGTGGTTTCATCAAGGATGTCCCCGAAGACAACCTGCACCCTCAAACCGCCCGCCGTCACAGTGACCTCATCCAGGTCCGAGGTCACCGAGTGGAAGAAAGATGCTGTGAGGGCACAGGAGTGTAGAACGTGTGGGTGTCCTACGGCAGAAAGCTGAACAGTGGCTCTGCAGCAGGAGATGCAGTCGGAGCCCCAGGCGCAGGACTTAGAGCACTCTCGAAGGTTGTCGGAGAGATCGGGGAGTTAGCAAGGGATCGAAAACGGGCCGATGGCTGGAAGTCGGAAAGGTGAGCGAAAAGAAAGAGAAAGAAGGCTCCCAGCCAAGGTAAAGAAAAGAGAGGCTGGCGAGTCGGCGCAGAAAAGCAAAAAATCAAATAAAATGGAGGAAATGTTTTAGGGTCAAAGCATCAGAGTTTTAGGATTAGGGAAAGCTGCAACCTTGACTATAAGAGGAGTGTGATCGCTAGATTTGCAAGGTTGAGCTTTAATGATGCAGCAGAGATATGGAGTTGTGAACAGACTTAAATAGAGAGGTGAGATTGTGCGATTGGGAACTAGGCTGGGAGCCTGATTGAAAGATCGAAGGGTTTTAATGTAAAGATGTCCCGACCTAGGTTGAATGGCAAGGTTGAGAGCTCATGGGAATCTTGCTGTTGTCAGCAGGACACGAGTCAGTCCCAGCCTGGTCATTACCATGGGACTATGTCAGATATATATTAGTGCAGTACAGTGACACAGTGGTTAGCATTGCTGCCTCGCAGTTGTGGGTCCTGGGTTCAGTTCCCGGAGTCCAGCCTGTGTAGACTTTGTATGTTCTCCCAGCATTTGCTTGGGTTTCTTCTGGGTGTTCCGGCTTCCTCCCAAAGTCCAAACATGCTGGTAGGCGGCTTCTGGAAAAACTAGGCCTGGTGCATGCTTGTCTGTGTCTGTGTGTGTGTGCCCTGATCTGGACTGGAATCCCAACCAGAAATGTACCTTGACTTGCGCTCATTGCTTGCCAGGATATACTCTGGCTGTCCTGCGATTCTGAATTGGATGAAGCAGTTGGTTGTATATATACACTGCACAGCTGTCATGATTGTAATCCCTCCCCCTTTAGGGCGCTCTGGCTCTTTCACATTTTAGTTGATTTTGTGCACCTGCCTCCTGTCCTGCCCCTCCTTAAAAGCCAGACGCTCACTCTGTTCTGGGCTCTGCATTGGAAGACAGATGCCCGGAGGCCCGCCTACCACCAAGTCCCCCTACACCCACGGCTTGAGGGCATAGGCCTCCTATCGGTGTCCTGACCTACAGTAGCTGAGTCCGGGGCTCAGAGTGCCTGGCCTCGTCACCCCCGTTTTTATTCCTTCTTGAAGACGGTGGGGTGCAGAATGGCACAGCAAGCTGGTAGCGCATAGCTTCAGCGGAGATGGAGCCTTTCACCCTGCCTCCGAGGCTGAGGAGCAGAACGGGAACCAGCTTGCCTCGCAGGGAGAGATGAGCCACAGCCAGTCCAGCCCAGCAAGAACATGAAAATAAAGAAATCCCACTACGCAACCTCTCCCAGCTGCCTGGACCAAATACTCCCACAGCAGGAAACGAATCACACTCATGTAAGCTCAGATCGGACGATGCTTACGTTGTGCTGCCTGGTTTGCCATTTGCGGAATGAGTCCTCTCTGGGCATTATGGAAAGCCTGTTAGATACAGCAAACAGGAAAAGCCTTTTAAAATGCTGAACATCTTTCAAAATGTGGGCTTTATGTTGGGTTTTTTTTTGTCTTGTCAACATGATTACTTTTGATTAACCAAATCAAACACCGTGTTTGTAATCAAGATTCTTGTTAACAGTTGATGGCTCTGTGATTATAGTAATTTTACGACCCCAAGTGTCTAGGGGTAAAGGGGTGTCCTCAAGAGCAATACCTTGACATAGCCAGCAGCCATGTCACCCTGCAATTCACATCTGGCTACCCCCTGAAGCTCAGCAGGTGTGAGCCTGGTCAGTACCTGGATGGGAGACTCCTGGGAAAGCTAAGGTTACTGCTGGAAGAGGTGTTAGTGGGGCCAGTAAGGGGCGCGCACCCTGTGGTCTGTGTGGGTCCTAATGCCCCAGTATAGTGACAGGGACACTATACCATAAAAAAAGGTGCTGTGTTTCGGATGAGATATAAAATCGAGGTCCTGTCTTTCTGTGGTCATTAAAAATTCCAGGGTGTTTCTTGAAAAGAGTTGGGGTGTTACCCCAGTGTCCTGTCCAAATTTCCCATTGGCCTTCACCAATCATCTATGATCTCGCTTCATCACTCTGTTCTCCTCTCCACGGATAGCTGTGTGGTGATCGGACTGGAGCACTATGGCTGCCATCGCATCACTCAGGTGGGGCTGCACACTGGTGGTGGTGGAGGGGAGTCCTCATTACCTGTAAAGCGCTTTAAGTGGAGTATCCAGAAAAGCGCTATATAAGTGTAAGCTATTATTATATAATTATATTGTAGTTCCCTTGCTCTTACCTCTGCAGAATCCTGGTCAGTGGGTTTAATGACAACACGGATGGTGGAGACACATCTGGTTTGTCGGGTTTGCTCAAAGTGTCCGATCTCCTCCAGCAGAGTGCTGATTGCTACCTCCCGAGGAAACCCCAGCGCAATTCCTGGGCCAATAACTGGGAAGGCAATGGTGTTCAGTCCTCTTCTCTCACAAGTATCCAGAGCGCTCCTCAGCCCACTGCAGAGAGCCTATAACAGACAGCAAGGAATCGTATTCCCTCCTCTTTTATCATCAGTTGCCTGTGCGTTTGACTGTAGCCCCTGCTTTGCTCAAAAACTGCAGTTCCCAGGACACACACATGGTGCACACCTAACGTAATCCATCCTCCTTGTTACGGGTTAATACTGTTGGACTAAGATCAGAAAGAGGTTGGAGCTCCAGTCTGGTTGGGGTAGCAGAGATCATCAGACAGTATACTTTCTAGGATCTGACTGTATTTTCTTTAAAAAATAAAACAGTAAACCCATATCATATGCCACTGATTTAAGTGATATAAACAAGGTCTGAAGGTCATATCAGAATACGTATTGTAGTTAGGGCACATTACATGGTAACTTCAGTCAGTGCATATTAATAACTTAGGGCTGTTAGTGTTGATTAGCATTTGTTACCTGAACATCTGAATAGCTAGGAGGAAGTGCCAGAGATATGCAGTTTACGTGCCTGTGATATTACATCCAATCCAGCATGGAAACATTCCAGTCCAAGAGCAGTTCAAGAGAAATACGGATACACACTGGCAATGTTCCCTTTAATTTTGAATGGCCTGTGTGTGCAAAAATGTGAAATTGTACAATTATTTGTGACAAAAACTTGTGCACACTAAATTGAGTGTATGTAAAATTGTAAACCTAATTATTAATATTATGGAGACTGAGTGTCGGGCGACCATGAGCCATGAGGTACAATAGTAAAAGAGCAAAGATATCGATGATCGAGTAGCAATAATAATGCACACAGCCAAGTTGGGCCACTCACAGCCAGAATCTCCTGTGGTCAATTTTGCATTTTTCAATTGACGACCGTGTTTGTTTTATTATTATCATATTTTTGGGGAATTAAAGTTTTTGTGCACAGTTCAATTTCCCACGTGCGCTGATTTCATCACCCGTATGCACGCGTACACACACCCACAGCTTAGAGGGAACACTGCACACTGGCCTCAGTAGTCATGTACGGTAGATGCATGAGGACATGACTAATATTTCTAGGGATAATTACCTAGGGGAGATTATGATCCTTAGAAATAATATTTGTGTCACATTAATTAAATAACAACTTTTCCAGAACAACACTTGTATGGTATTCACCAGAGCAAGGAAGTTACACCACATCACCTCTATTCTAGCAGAACTCCATTGGGTCCCCGTCCACCAGAGAGTGGGTTTTAAGACACAAAAAGGCAAAGGTCCCATCTACCTCCCTGACCTTCTTCTGTCTCAAACATTCCCTGGTCTTCAAGATCAGGTCAATTTAATCTGCTGCAGGAAGCCCCAAAACCAAACTGCACACATTGGGCGGCCGTGCCTTCTCCACCTCTGCTCCTTGTGATAAAACCTCCCTGATCATCTCCGACAAGCATTTTCAACTGAGATCTTAAAGCCCTTCTCTACCAGCAAGCCAATGAACTACCTGCATCCTAAACTAATTTCCATCTTTTTCCTATCTTTTTTATATTTTTTATATCTATTGCCATATCTATTATCTAAAATGATTATCAAAATAATTAAATGTGCAATATAAGTTTAGTTGATGATGATGATGTTGAGTATTATTATTATTAGAAGTAGTAGTTCAAGCAGGTATTTCCTTCTAATCCTCTCTATTCAGTTGCAGGTTTCGACTTCACACCTCTCTTCACCTCTCTGGACTTCGCACCACCTGAGTGCCCACTCTGCCCCCCCTCCTGCTCCCGCCTGCTCTCCACTTCTGGCTCTTGTCCTCCCCTGCCTTATCAGCTGCTGACTTTCCTCTCTCTCACACCCGAAGAAGGCACCACAGCTGAAACGTTGTGTTTCTTTCCTTCTCTTTTCAGCCGGGAATAAACCTTTACTTGTTCCGTGGTAGTAGTATCTATTGATCGTTCCTGCAATAACACTGTTGAGATCCTGTAGGATGGTCTTACCTCCACTGCACTGCCCTGGAACAGCCCGTCCCACACAGAGCACTGAATGAAGAAGACCCGCTTGCAGGGCAGACCCTGGACAGCATCGACAGCAAGCAAATGGCCAGGAACAACGAGTGCCCCTCTGGTTGAGCGAGCAAACAAATGACTGAACTGATCGCCAGCCTTGTGAGCTAAAGATTTTCCCACTTTGGTAGAACGCAGCTCCAGGTTGATAGTCGGGGCTACGAGCACATCCACCTGCCAACAACACATTCATGAAGATGACGATGACACCCATCAGTCAACCCTTAGCTACTCTTTTCACAGTGGATATGAAGTCATAGTCCTTGAAATAAAGCCATTTTCCAATGGTGTACTACTGAGTCTATTCACATTGAAGGGAGAGTAAATAGTTTAGGGGAGGGTGCAATGAAGTCTACAATTAGTTTAGAAAATAAAACTAATGAATCAATGTAAAATAAGTAGCATCTTCAATCTGTTGGAACAATTTAGTCTGTTTTTTAATGTCTAATTAAATTTAATTCTGGGATCTTGATACCACCTTGAAAAAAAAATCTGAATATATTTAATATATGCTTTATAATAAAACAAAACATTGGTTACCTGTTGATCTTCAATATTTCCCAACACTATCTCTAGTCTTCTGTGGACATCTGGAACTGAGGATTCTTTTGTAATTGAGGGATAAGAATTACGGAAATCGATCGGGGTTCCTAAAGTCATGACATTCTCCCTCAGCAGCTTCACACAGGCGTCCTGGAATGCGCTCACAGTGTCCCAGTTGATGTCCACTAGGGTGACACTCTGGAGGGTACTGGCCACCCTGGCGAAATGTTGCACTTCCTTCACGATGGTTTCGGCACAGATTGCCAGGGGCACGCCGTGCTCTCCTGAGCTCACGCAGGGGAACGCCAAGGACTGGCAGCCGGAAGTGTCCGCAAGTTCCAGGGATTCTCTCACGGCTTTGCCCAGGAGATTTCGTACCCTGTCTGAATCTCGTCCCTGCCCCCAGTGGGGGCCCACAGCATGAATCACCGCCTTACAAGGCAGGGAACCTGCGGTGGTCTTCACTGCCTTTCCGACTTGCACCTTCCCATTCTTCTTCACCCATTCGTCACACTGCTTCTGGATGGCCGGACCACCGGCTCTGCTAATGGCGAAAGCCACACCCCCAGCATTTTCTAAGCTTTCGCCTGCCCCGCTCACGATGGCGTCCATTTTAAGGTCGGTGATGTCCCCTTGGAGAACCTCCAACGTCACGCCCCCTTCTAGAAGGAAGCTGGACCACACCCCCGGTGTCTTCATGCCAGATGAAGTCCCTGTCCTCACAGAGGGAGCTTCTGTATGACCTGTGGCTTTCACATGTTCTCCTTCTACAAGCCTGATCAGGCAGCTGTACAAGGTGCCCACTTCGGTCAGGGTCCCTTGACCCTTGCCCTGGAAGTATTCATATGCCCCTGGTTGGTCAATCCTCAGCATGTCACACACCAAACTGTCCAGAGTTTTCTTCAGGGTGGCTTTGAGTTCATTCACAGGCTGAGCGGGCCCAGTGATGTGAAGACCAGGCGATGGAGAAGACTCACTTAAAATATTAACTTGGGCATTTTCCATGCCAAGCAAGTCCAGGAGGTCATAGAAATAGTCTACGATTTCCGGCTTGGAAAGAAGGATGGTTTCATGTTTCACAGAGTTCTTCTCAATGAAGATGTGAACCTCATTTTCCATTTTTTCCACTTCCTTCTTGAACCCCAGAATCTGAACATGGATCCTCCCCATGCCTGGATCTTGGAGGTAGTGAACCTGCACTCTATTCTTCTCTCGGTTCATCTCTGCTTCTCTCCTCTGCAGGGATTCTTTCAGCAGTGTAAGATTGTCAGAAGATGCCCAATCCCTGTCAAGTGCAACAGTTCTCTCTTGGAGATCCTCCAGCATGGCCTTCTCAGCCACATCCAAAACACTGCGATCTAAACTAAGGAGCCTGAGGTCCAGATCCAGGCTGATCTCTATGGCCACAGGGCCCTTCAGCACTTTACAGAAGAAATCCACATATTCCTGTGCACTGCCTCTAGTGTCCAGGAAGGACACAAGAGGACGGGACAACTGGACTGTACATTCATGCACTTGCTTAACCATCTCTTGTAGCTTGAACCTCACCAGCCGGACATCGTCTTCGGAACCTTCCAAAACCAGAGACAGGGATCCTTCCCTGGAGACCACTACACTGGGAAGCTGGGATCCTATTTCATTTTTGAAAGCATCTTCAATGAGACTGTACTGAGCATCAGAAATTCGGCATTCTGTCCTAATGACTTTTCGGGCCAGGGCGTCCAGTATCTTGAGACGATCCTCCACATCTTTCCGTGAGCCGACTATCACGGTGAAGCCCTGCATCCTCTCTGTGTAGACCCGCAGGTTGTCGGAGGCCAGGAAGGGGGTCTTCAACAGGGCAAGTTGCTTCGCCTGGCTGGCTTCGTAGTGACAGTGGTATTTATTTTCCACGACCCTGAACACTTTCTCTACCTCGGCCTCCCATCTGCTGGACTGACTAGTGCCTTTGAAGGTCACGGCAACCTCCTCGGCATCTGGGCGGAGCTCTGCGGAACATGGAATCAAGGAGAGCTGGTCCTGCAAGTCCTTGGCAGCCTGGGAACATTCTTGGAGGTAGAGCAGCAGGTAACGATTCACCTGCAGGATCTTTTTGGGCTGCAGCAAGGAGAAGCTCTCCTCAACTACCCCTCCACCAGAGGCTGGATCAAATAAACTGGGAAGCTCTGTGGGCTTTCGATGTTGTCCTAAAGGTTTTAAGGAGATATTGTGTGTTTAGGATTTCAGACACTTCTTGGGATTACTTTGCAAATATAACACTGCAAAACAAAATTACAAATATCAGAAGAGCCTTTCATCATTTCAGATGTCAGTTTCCCAGTGCAGTAGAACAAGGCATGTCACTGACACACTGTCCCATGTGGTTCTCTGTCTATGTACACTTTTGATTTTAAGGAAATCCTCTTACCCCCAGACACAACTAGTCATGCATAACTTTGAAAAGACACTGACAGTTAGAAAAGTGTGAAAATGGCTTGCTTAGACAGAGATATCTCTGAGAATCTTAAAAACAGGTATAAATATGGCCAGCAGCCATATCACTCTGCAACTCAGAACTGGTAACCCACTTAAGCTCAGCGGGTGTGAGCCTGGTCAGTACCTGGATGGGAGACCTCCTGGGAAAGCTAAGGTTGCTCCTGGAAGAGGTGTTAGATGGGCCAGCAGGGGGCACTCACCACATAATCTATGACATAATCTATGTGGGTTTGAATGCCCCAGTATAGTGATGGGGAAACTGTACTGTAAAAATGGCGTCAACCTTCAGATGAGACATAAAACCAAGGTCCTGGCTCTCTGTGGCATTCCTCAAAAAGAGTAAAGGTGCAACCCTGTCGTCCTGGCCAAATTTCCCATTGGCCTTTACCAGTCATGGCCTCCTAATAATCCCCATCTATGAATTTGTTTCATTTCTCTGCTCTCCTCCCCAGTGAGAGCTGGTGTGTGGTGAGAGTTCTAGAGCATCACCCAGGTGGGGCTGCACACTGGTGTTGATGGAGGGGATCCCCATGACCTGTAAAGCGCTTTGAGTGGAGTGTCCAGAGAAGGGCTATATAAGTGTAAGGGATTATTAATTATTATAACTATAAATATGGAAACAAGATGATGGTCTGCAAAACAAATGCCACAGCTTACTTGTTTTTACTAGGAGTTTGGATTGCGCACAATGAACTGTGTTAGAAGAGTGTGGTGTAAAACTGGCAAATGTTTTATCAGTGTGCCAAGGGACAATATCGAATATATAAATTTGCTTTAAAGGACTAGGAGAATGTTTGAAGAATAAGTTGACAATGAGAAACCAACAGTAACACCTTACCTTGACAATGATCTGTCTCAGCATTGGCCTGGGAACAGAGTAAAATACCAAAATGAAGCTCTGCTATTACAGCTGATACACCTTTCTTTGGCTCGATGCCTGAGCAATTAATTCCCTGTTTCACGAACGACTATCATGCTCCTCTCTCCATCTCAGTCAGCAGAATGAAGTTTTGTTTCAAAAGAGGGTTGCAAGCAATCTCCTTCTTCACATTTGATGAATAGGGAACACGGATCATCCGGGCTTAGTGTTCAGGCAGTTTCTTTATTTTTAATCAGTGCTCAGTTGAGCTTTCGCACTACAGTGCAGAACAGGACTCCTCACCTAACGTCAAACCTCCTGCTTAGCTTCTATACTTTCTTTTACCTTTGGTTCATTAGTGCTGGCAATGGAAAAGAACATAAGTCCCTGCACAATATAATTAATATAAATAAATTGATTTTATTTTTATAAATAAAAAATAAATAAATACTAAATTAATATAAATAACTAGCAGAGAAGTGCAGATGTCAGAGGTTAAGTTTTAAGAATATAAAACAGGTCACAACTTGGAGGACTCTATTTGGCCTATCTAGACTGTTTGGGAGTTACTAGGAAATTGATTAAAGCATCTTATCCAGAGAAGCTAGGGAATTGGCTTCAACAACATGGCTGGGCAGATTGTTCCACACCCCCACCACCCTCTGTGTAAAGTAATGCCTCCTGTCCTGACTGAAGGATCTCATTCTGCTGTGTCTGGTGCGAAGCCAGGGTATCGGCTTCAACAACATCGCTGGGCAGCTTGTTCCCCACCCCCACCACCCTCTGTGTAAAGAAGGGCCTCCTCCTTTCGTTTTCTTATAAGCACGGTTATAGGACCAGTGGAGCCGCAACATCGACTTCTTGGATCTTAGGTTGCTCTAGTAACTCGACAGAAGGGAATGTTCTGGGACAATTAATTATATGTATATTTAATAAAATATAAATTACTCCTGAAGTGTTACTAGTCACTCTGCAACCAGAATAATGTGAAACAAACTGAGAGACAAGTGAAAACTTAGATAGTTTGATTTTATCCTATGCTTTCACCTGCCAACTGGGAGTTACACTACTGATTCCCCTGATAAGTGAGTTTTCAACACTCTCCCAACACCACAACAAAGCACTGTTGCTCTACTTCAGACACACCATTATGTACACAAAGCGCAGAAATCATTGTGCGTGTGTCTGACAATGTGGTTCCACATTTAACCCATGTGATAAAGCGTATAGCAGGGATATTCAATGAAATCAGTCAGCTGTACCTAAGAGAACTTGTTACTTCTTTTGAGGCACAGTGTGGCGGCCGCTAGTGGCAGCATGATAGAACTGCAGGCATTATCTACCAAACCAGCATGACAAAACAAATGCATGACTCCCCCAGCCTCTACCAGGAAAAAAAAATATTCCTCCTAGACAGCGGTTTTACCAGAAAGATTGTCTGCGAACCAGTTTGAGAACAGGTCCGGCGCTATGTGCTGGCATACCAAAACAGACAGCTGGAAAAAAGTATTATGTTTGTGAGGGTTTTTTTTCTCTGTAGATGAAGCCCAAACCCGAGACTGACGCAAATGAAATGTGACAAGGGTGATGTCAAGGAATTCTCAGCGCGCTTCCTGCACAGCAAGGGGTGTCTTTACCGCGAATACACTAGGAAAATACCAGCCCGGATGAACACCCCAAACCTTTTCCTGATCCCCGAAAATGCATCTCAGCAGCGCCCGTTGACACATTCTATCACTTTGCTGGTTGTAACAAGACCGCCGCAGCAGAACGGCACGGTCTATAGTAATTCTCTTACACCCTGGTGGGTTTTCACTTTTACATGTTCGTACTGTATCTCCCGACTGATCTGATTATTACCAGAAAACTGAACAATTACATTCTTGTTCTAACTGAAAACTACAGTGAGTTAAATCCTGCCCAGTCCACTGTCCCTTTGTAATGGCGCACAATGAAAGCTGTACTATGCAGAAACCGAGATTTATTTGTCTTTCTCATCACGTTTTTTTTTTCCTTTCGTGTTCAAGGAAGAAGGCAGGCCCAATGTTTTGTGTTTTTATTCGCCCTTAGTTTATATGTATTTGTCTAGGGCCGCAGTAGAATGTGGAACAGGGTGTGTGTGTGTGTGTGTTTTTCCAGTAAAGGTTGTGTCCTCCCCAAGGACTGACAAAATGAAAAAGTTTCCTCATCACCATGTTTGAACGAAGCCAACCGAGATACAGAGTTCGAAAGACGGGGAGTTACGTTTGGGGCGGCGGGGGATGATGACGTCGTTGCGTCCGCGGGGCTCCAGACAGACAGAGTGATTCTCCTGCCCGGCAGCTGCAGCACGTGTTCCCTCCTTTCCAAGACCGCCGCCTGGGCTTGGACACAAGAGATAGAGGCAGGAGTCACTACCACTCTGCCCTCTAAGCTGGTTTTGAAATCAGCGCACATAGGAAATTGAACTAAGTACAAAAAAAATGAAAAATGCTAAATTCACCACAGGAGACTGGCTGCGAGAGGCCCGACTTAGCTGTGTGCATTATTAGTGCTACTGGATCATCGATATCTTTGCTCTCGTCGTCTCGCACCTCGCGGCTCATGCTCGCTCGACAACAAGGTCTCCATAATATTAATAATATTATCGCTGTCCCGGTCTTTTAGTTCTCTCTGCTTCTATGAGGATGACTATATTAACAAAAAATAATTTCAGGTTTACAATTTTACATACACTCAATTTAGTGCGCACAAGTTTTTGTCACTAGGGAAATAATTGTACAATTTCACATTTTTGCGCACACAGGCCATTCAAAATTAAAGGGAACATTGCCAGTGTGTATCCGTATTTCTCTTGAACTGCTCTTGGACTGGAATGTTTCCATGCTGGATTGGATGTAATATCACAGGCACATAAACTGCATATCTCTGGCACTTCCTCCTAGCTATTCAGATGTTCAGGTAACAAATGCTAATCAACACTTACAGCCCTTAGTTATTAATATGCACTGACTGAAGTTACCATGTTATGTGCCCTAACTACAATACGTATTCTGATATGACCTTCAGACCTTGTTTATATCACTTTAATCAGTGGCATATGATATGAGTTTACTGTTTTATTTTTTAAAGAAAATACAGTCAGAACCTAGAAAGTATACTGTCTGACGATCTCTGCTACCCCAACCAGACTGGAGCTCCAACCTCTTTCTGATATTAGTCCAACAATAACAAAATAATTTTGCGCGCACAGGGCATTAAAAACCAGAGGGAACATTGGTCACAACTCGACAACGGTGACCGCCGGCGGGGGATGATGACGTCGTTGCGTCCGCTGGGCTCCAGATGGACAGCGATCGTAACCTCGCTGGAGCCCGTGTTTCTTTGGTTTTTTTTTCCCCCAAGCACTGCCTGGATAGTCCGTTTAGTAAAAGAAGGTCGGGCCCTTGTCTACAAGACTACAGTAGGCGACTGACCAGGGCCCCGGGGTCGCTAGGCGACCCCCCTCAATGAGCAACACAACACAGAAATCCCCTATAGCGACTCTTCCTGTTGCTGCTGTGGATCATCTCAATAGAAGCCCGGTCAAAAAATAATAATAATAATAATAATTGCTTACACTTATATAGCGCTTTTCTGGACACTCCACTCAAAGCGCTTTACAGGTAATGGGGACTCCCCTCCACCACCACCAATGTGCAGCCCCACCTGGATGATGCGACGGCAGCCATAGTGCGCCAGAACACTCACCACACATCAGCTATCAGTGGGGAGGAGAGTAGAGTAATGTAGCCAATTCATAGAAGGGGATTATTAGGAGGCCATGATTGGTAAGGGCCAATTGGAAATTTGGCCAGGACACCGGGATTCCACCCCTACTCTTTTCGAGAAGCGCCCTGGGATTTTTAATGACCACAGAGAGTCAGGACCTCGGTTTTACGTCTCATCCCAAGGACGGCGCCTGTTTACAGTATAGTGTCCCCATCACTATACTGGGGCATTAGGACCCACATGACCAATTGTCATCGAGAGACGGTGACATAACCTGTGTCTGAAGCGCAGAGAAGAGCGGGATAAGCGATCTTAAAAACAGGGGTGCGCCAGATCAAGTTATTGTCATAATGCATTATATGCGCAGCAGTGGAATCGTTTGAATGTTATCTGGGGTTGAGTCTGTAAGATCCACGTAACTAGCGAACGGTAAACATGAGACACGCACAGGTAGACTACCTGAGGTGTTGTCACTAGAGGTTAACAGATTTATATTTCCCGCAATTGCGGACATGCCGTGTGGGTAAATAAACGTCGCCTGGCTAAAACTCAGCGCTGCCCAGCCAAACAAAAGAGCGAGAGTAAACGAACAGTAGCAAAAGCTGTTCGGCGATTGTACCTAATCGGCATTTAAGCAAATACCTTCCCTTGCGGTATCTCCTGTATTTCGTTCGATTATTCCGAACTCCACCTGTATCCCCTTTTCAAATTTCACGTTGATTAAACTTTGAAAAATACCTGAGGTCGAAAATATAGGCAAATTAATTTGTAGAACGTTTTTTTTTTAAACTTAGCCTTACTGATCTCACCACACTTGTTATTAAGTGCGGTTTTTTTCATTTCTTACTTTATTTCATATTTATGTTTGCAATTCCTTTCTACAAAGGTTTCAGTGCAGCGCTTTTTAAGTTACGATTTGCTATAAGTTTTCTTCTTTAAAAGAGCCTTTACTGACCTGGTTTCATTCTTTACCCCTCTGCTCCTACTATACTTAGTACCACCATCCACGGTCTCCTCTGTGTATTGGAATTGTGTTTTATCTTGTGATTATTTACTTAACTGGTTCAATTCTTTATCCCTCTGCTGTCTCTGTTGTCATTCTGTAAAACGCCACCTTTATTCATCATTATTATTATTATTATTATTATTAATTAACTGCGCTTATGTTTTTTTTCTTACCTTATTTCATATTTATGTCTGCAGTTTCTTCCTGCAAATGTTTCAGCGCTTTTCAAGTTACGATCTGCTCTAATTGTGAAGTAACAGAGATCCTGTTTATCATTTTCATTACTTTCAATGTCTAAATCCAGTACCTCATCTTTGTGAAACGTGTTCTTGATTAGACTGTATTTATTATGCGTTCTTCAAAGCCGGTAAATAAAATAACTGTAGTTATATACTTCATTTATTCTGTTGCTCTAAATAGTAAAATAAGGTCGTCTTGGGAGCTGTCAATAGTAGTGTAAAAAGGCCGGGGTTAGAGCAGGGAAAGATCGGGCAAAATTCCGTCTCTTCCTCTAACCTGGGTAAAGTATTTTTTTTTAATCAAAATATACTTTATTTCCAAAGCAACAACTCACAAAAGAAACATTCTCACAAATGTAGTAAACATCCTGACTAGGTATGAACTTCACATGCCATAACAAATATATGCGAGGTACACGATACGATAAGAATCGGGGCACAATCGCCCCGAATACAGATCTGACGGCCCGAGGGGTCTCCTACCTCTGCGCGTCT